AAAAAAAACGTATTGCGATGGGAAAGTCTGCTGTTAGGGACCTCTCCAAAGTACTGAAGGGCAGTAGTGTCACTCTGGAGACTAAGGTGCATCTGATACAGGCATGGTCTTTGCAATCTCTTGTTATGCATCAGAGAGTTGGACAATGACTAGGAAAGACAGAAGGAGAATTGATGCCTTTGAGCTGTGGTGCTGGAAAAGAGTTTTGAATGTACCATGGTCTGCCAAGAAAACTAACAGATGTATCCTAGTGTGGGTTAAACCAGGCTGTTCCTTAGAGGCAAGGATTCTGGGGCTTCGTCTGACATACTTTGGACATGTTGTAAGGAGGGACAGGCCCTTGGAGAGGGACATCATGCTTGAGAGGGTGGAGGGACGGCGCAAGAGGGGAAGACCCTCTATGAGATGGATTGATTCCATGACTGGGGTAATCGGGATGAGTGTGTCAGAGGTAGTGCAATTGGCACAGAATAGAGCAGGGTTTAGGGCTGTTGTACATAGGCTCGCTATGAATCACAAATGACTCAACGGCACATAACAACAACAGATCAGGAAATATTCGTGGTTCTTTTACTCAAACTGAAGTGGGTGATTTGTGACTACTTAAGTTTGTTAAAACATGCCTAAGAAAAGAAATAGAATGTAATCTCAAAGTTGCAAAAAACTCCAACAGGTGTCTAATCGAAACACCTCTCTCCTGCATGCATCACTTCTGACTACCTGGTGCATTGTTATTCATAGGTACCTTTCCTTTGGTTATGACTCATCACAAGCCTGTGTTCAGTAGAATGGAACACTGCTTAGTTGCCTCTGTACCATTGCCGCGTATGCTTGGGCCCATTATTGTATTCTAAGGTAGAGAGGCATTTCGCTTTGTTCTTGTCAGGCTCTGTCCTGACTCTTCCCCTGTATGACGACCACAGCACCATGCATAGCTCTTTGAAGTGTGAGAAGATTATGCAGTGAGACAAAATGATTCTGGGGCTTAGGTAGGTATTTTTCACAGCTTAATGGAGTATTATTGAGAAATTTTGTCTCTTCTGAGAGTTACTTTTCTGGGGCTCTGCCATGCTCCTGGACACAGCCAATAGAATTGAGTGAGTGGACAAGAATATACTTTCATCAATAGTGGGAAAAGGGTCAAATTTTGATACTCATTGACTGGCAAGTTTGCGTCTAGAATTTTAGAGCTAGGAAAGATTTTGAAAATGATCCAGACGGCCTTTGGAAATGATTCACAAATAAAGAGACAGGACCAGAGAAAGTAAAATACAAAGACTTAGCAACTTAAATGTATGAAGACAGATTAAGAATTTATTTTTTCCATTGTTGCTGGTTCTCCGGTATAGTGATTATGAATAAAGCTCTGGAGACAGGCCACACTGATTTTAGTCTTAGATCTCCTACTTATTAACAGCATGAGCTTCAGTCAGCTACATATATTTCTCTTCCTCAGATTTCTTCTTTGGAAAATAGGAATGATAAAAGGGGATTTTGTGCAGGTTAAATAAGGTGATAGGTATAAATCACATAGTCCCTGGTACCTGGAAAACACTAAAGAAGAATTTGCTCTCAATCTTCCAACGAGCCTAACAAATGCCAGTGGTTAACCAAGTCAGAGAACAAATGTTTTGATGAGACTAGTGGATGAAATATTTTCCTCTCACTTAAAATACAGCTTGGTTGGTTGGTTGATTTGCTTTTTAAACTTCTGATTGCGAAATGATCTTCAGAAGGGATTTGTGAATCACCAAGTGTGACTTTTGCATGGAAGAAGGAAAGATTTAAAAAATATTCACCATTATTTCTAATTTCCCTTTCACATTCAGCAGATGTTTACAGAGCTGTCATCTATATTCCAGGCTGTGCCCTCAGCCTCACAATGTATACGAGTTAGGTGGAATGAGTGAAAATGAAATAGTACTGCCACAACATGGGAAGGCCGTGGTAGAACAGAGAGCTCGTTTACTGCACATGGCCATTACGGTTGTTGGTATGTGCCATCAAATCGAGTATGAGTCATTGCAACCCTGTGAACAAAAGATCTGAGTCCTGTTCTATCCTGTGCTGTCTTCACACTTCTGACACTCTACACCCCATTGTGGCAGTCAGTCCACATCAACCCACCTTCGCTGGTCTTCAAGGGTCTTCCTCTCCTTCATCAGCCCTCTATTCTTCCCAGCATCATGTCCTTCTCCCAGGAATAGCCCCTCCTAACAATATGTCCAAAGTATATGAGGTGAAGCCTCATCATTCTTGCCTTCAAAGAGCATTCCGTCTGCACCCTCTCCAGGACATATTTGTTTGTTCCCTTGGCCATTCATGGGATGTTCAGTGCTCTTCTCCAACATTACAGCTCACAAGCATCAATTCTTCTGTCATCCTTATTCATTGTCCATTGAATTGAGTCATTTGCAATGAGTAAAACCAACAACATAGTTTATAATTAAAACATGGGATGTACGTAACTTGAATGTTCGAAACTGCATGTGGAAGGAATCTTTAATCTGATTTAAAGGATCAAGAATTGTTTTCTGGGAGAAGTAATAACTATGCCAAAACCCTGTATGATGAGTGATATTCTGGCCCAGTTTATGTGGTCTGGAGAAGAGCACTCAAGAAATAGGGAACAGTGTGTATGTACATGAGAGATGCTCAGTCTTGGGAGAAACACTGGGAATGTGACCCATTTGTTGCAGAAGGTCAAGGGTTACAGCCTTTAATATGAACTGAAGCTTAACCTCAAGGAAACAAAGATTCCCACCACTGAACAGATTGGGAGCATCATGATAGACAGTGAAGAGATTGAGATTGTTAACAGCTTCCATTTTCTTGGCTTCCTAATCAACATTCTTGGTACCAGCAGCCAGGAAATCAAGATTAATTGCATTGGGAAAGTCTGCTGTCAGGGACCTCTCCAGAGTACTGAAGAGCGATGATGTCATTCTAGAGACCAAGGTGTGGCTGATCCAGGCCATGGTCTTTGCAATTACTTGCTATGCATCCTAAAACTGGGCAATGACCAGGGATGATAGAAGGAGAATTGATGCCTTTGAGTTGTTGAGAAGAGTACTAAATATACTTCGGACTGCAAGGAGAACAAACAAGTTCGTCCAAGAGAGAATGAAACTAGGATGCTCCTTGGAGGCTTCGTATCATACTTTGGGCATTTTGCAAGGAAGGACCAGTTGTTGGAGAGGGACATCATGCTTAGAAGGGTGGAAATACAGTGCAAAAGATAAAGACCTTCCATGTGATAGATTGACTCCATGACTAGGGAAATGGGGGTAGAGGTGTCAGACACAATGAGGTTCGCTCAAGATAGAGCAGGGTTCAGAGCTGTTGTACATAGAGTTGCTGTGAGTTGCAAGCAACTCGATGGCATATAACAACAAGAATCCATAGGAAGTTGTGCTGCTAACCCAAAAGCTATGTCTCTCTGGCAATGTGAAATGCACTAGCTTCTCTGTGGGGGAAAGATGGTCTGTCTCCTCCTGTGTGATTTACAGCCTCTGAAACTCAAAGGACAGTCAGCAATAAGTCTGCTCCAACTTGAAGACAATGAGTTTGAAGGACTTTTAGTTTTGTTTTTAACAAGTTGCTGCACACTTTTAATTGACGACCGTGCTTAGAAACACATTTTTTTTTTCGCTATAGCTGCCATTTGTGGCAACATGTTAATTTAATTTTTTTTTTATTTCTATGTACTGGGCATTGTTTTTTATGATAGAGATGTATCTTGTTCAGCTGACACTATATTTTCATAAAAGATCTAGGGGAGAACTGAGAGTGCCTTAAAGAGAACTACTTAAAGTAGGATGCTCAAAGTAGCCTTTAAGAAGACATGACTGTCCATGTCTGATAATAATAATGAGAAGGAGTCAGCCATGCAGAGATTGGGGGTGGGGGTGGGAGGGAGTTCCGGTGACAGGGAGCAACACAGGAAAAACCCTCGAAGGCAGGAACAGAGCAACGGTGTGTGTGTATGTGGGAGAAATGAAATGAGGGCAAGTCCACTAATGAGTGCTGGTCACAACAGAAGTTGTACAGATAATTTTAAGAGCATCTGGGTTAGGTTACTGATAAAGAGAAATACTGGGCATTTCTAGTGAAAGCGGCTGCTGCTGCTTATTTTTATAACGTTTGTGAATGGCACAAATACTTTGTGCTCAGCTACTCATTCAAAGGTTGAAAGGTTTGTCTACTGAGAGATGCCAAAGAATGAAGCCCTGGCACTCTACTTCCCCATGGGTTTCAGCCCAGAAAACTGTAGGAAAGAGTTCTCTGTTGCACACTGGTCACCACACGTTGGGATCGATTCAGCAATCTGGGTTTTTAGTGTACAAAAATATAATTCCAGTCCAACAAATTTGTTGTGTGTACAAGTCACTGATCTTAATTAATTACACTTATCACGCTGTGCAATCATCACCTTTACCATTTCTAAAGTTTTCCATCACCCTTAACAGAATCCCTGTGCTCCTCTCCCAGTTTCAAAACATGCCTACACAATATGATTGCTTCTTTTTCAAAACAAGACAACTTGTGAGAAAAACCTCACTTGAAAAATGCCCTTTTTCTGAAGTGGCACTCAGTTCTGTGCGTTTTAATAAATCAGATGAGGTGAAAACCATATTTGCCACCATCGTTTTACTGGAAACACACATAAGGCAAATGTGTTGTTATATGCCTTCTTCCAAGTTCTGAACACGTTTTAAGCAACATAACAAATTAGGAGGGCTGCCTGGCTCGTTATGTTGATTAAGGTGTCCCAGTGCTTCTCCTGGGTTCTAGACGTACACCTCTAATTACTTCCTTGAGCATTCTTTTCTCATTTCATTCCTTTCAGAAGTGTGTGTGCGTTTCAAGAGTACTTTAAATTCTTTCTCTCCACTTTGATCCAGATGAATTGTCCTTGCATTTCTCTTCCCTGAGTGTCCCCTGGGTACTGGACCACATGGACCATGCAGGAGGCTCACACTCTTGCTCTTTGCCTCTAGTTAACAGCTTTGGGGAGGATGAAGAGCTGTCCACATCTTCTGACAGTGACGAGGAGGTGATAAAGCAATTCGAGATATCTGTGTCCCGCTCTCAGAGTTTCCGTTCTGGAGGCACAGCTGAGAAAGGAAGACAGACGGGTTCGGAACAGAAAGCAAAATTCAGCTGCTTGCCCTCTAACCAAGAAGAGGACTACAACGAAGCGTCTGCCTGTGAAGGTATTCTTTATATTACCCTTCATTTCTTAGACCACGCCACTGCCCTTGTTGAGAATGCTTTTGAATCACAAACCACTATACCGTTTGCAAATAGTACTGAATATCTGTCTCCTGGACTGCCAGAAGAACAAAGTGTGTCTTGGAGGAAATGCAACCAGGGTGCTCCTTAGAGGTAAGAATGGTGGCACTTCACATCACATACTTTGTGTGGTGTGAGCAGGGGCCTGTCCTTGAGAAAAGGTGGCGGGTCAGAGAACTAGAGGGAAACCCTCAACAAGGATTGACACAGTAACTGTAACAATAGGCTTGAACATCACAGGGCTTATGATGGTAACAGTGGACAGGGCACGGCTTAGCTGTGTGCTCACAGTGTCACTGTGAGAGGGGGACAACCCCATGGCTCATAACAACGGCCACTGCTACGCATGCATTGGTGAGCTGGAAGACGGCAAGGACAGGACACACAGGGCTGCACTAAAGCTCAGTGGAGCTGTAATTCAGAGAGTCAGGCGAGGGATGAGTTAGAAATGGGTAAGATTAAGCAGTGACCCTTCATGAAAAGGACTCCTTCCTTTCCTGGAGTCTTAACAAGTTGGGCTGTTAGGCTGGTTCCTGCTCTTGATAATCTTGGGTCAGAGTACAACTGAGCTACACAGGGTTTTTAATGACTGATGATGATGATGATGATGATAATTTTTACTCATCAGACAGATTTATTCTGGGGCTTCTCTGGGTGGACCTCTGACCTGTTTGCACCATCCAGGCTACACCTTGTAGACCTACCACAACCTTTTAATTTTGAACGGTAACGTCCAGAACAGTATACTTCAACCTCCTTTTGAGAAGTATAAATATTTCACCTATGCTCCGCTGACCTGGAGACTCTATATCTGTTTATTTCCCATATATACTCAAAGGTGGGCAAATAAGAGTTTGTTTTCTCTGCATCTGTATTGCCTCTGGTAAGGATAAAGGTGGCACAGGATAGGACAGAGCTCAAATGGATTGTTCATAGGATCACTATGAGTTGTACTTGACCTGTCGGCACTGAACAGCAGTATTACCTCTGAAAGGGTATTAGTTTGTGGTGATTTTTTGAAAGCTTTTAATGAAATAGTTTGCCATACAATGATCCTCTTGTGTTCAAATGACTGTGTGTCTCTGTTAAGATTCTGAAGTAGTACAACTTAGTGTTCTGCAATTCCCATTCTTCACAGTGTTAGCCATAATTTCTTATGACCCATCCATAATTTGCTGTGATCCTTTGAATAATCAGTAAAATGTAGATGAATATCTTTCTCGTATTTTCTGCTTAGAGCCAAGATCCCCTAATTTGATTATTAAAACAATAGTCATCTTCCAAATGAAATATTTTTTTTTTTTAATACTGGGTAATCCTACCCAGATGGCACTTTTACGGCTGCGTCTTTCTACTCAGTCTTGTGATTTCTGATACACCTCACCTGCTTGAAAATTACTGGACAAGACCAAGTTCTATACCATCCTGTAGTCAGTTTGTCCTCAGATTACTTACAAAGTTGTTTATCTCTCACAAAAAATGAGTGGTCGCTACTTGGAGACAGGATAGGCACAGTTAGTGACATACTTGGAGACAAGATAGACACAGACTGGGTAAGTCTTTTAATAGTCCTCCTTCCCATCCCCCGCACAGTCTGAGAGAGGATAGAAAAAAAACAGTACATGATTTCTTAGTCCTTTCTTGAACAGAGGTCAGGGATCTCTGTGACTCCTTCATGTCCAGAGCCCTAAGTAGACACAAGTCATTGGGACAGAAGTGTTTCATAATTTTTATTTAGTGATTTAGTGAGAAACTAGAAATAATCTTGATTAGTTCACCTTAGGGACCTGAGTTTTCTAATCTTTCTTTCTTTTTTTTTTTTTTTGTAAACAAGCTAGGGGACAAGTGGTCACAAAAACCAATGGGATAGCAGTGTAGCTCTGTAGCCCTAGAATGAGAATATGATATAAAAAAAAATTGAGATATGATAAAAGAAAAACAAGCTTCTGATTCTACAGTGAAGACAAAGCAGTCAGAAAAAGACTAATGAAAATAAGAGAACCATCTTTTTTCAGTAGAGACATGCTAATTTGCTATTTACCATGCTGATTTACTTATTGGCCCAGGCCATGATAATGTACTTTATTACTGCAGTTTTAGCCCAAGGTAAGACAATGAATAAATAGCTACATAACCAAACCACAAAATATCAGCACATACAAATCCTCTACTGTTTCCTAACACACCACCACCCCCCTTTCCCATGTTCTCCTCTGGTATAACATCACAGAATTTCTTCTCTCCATTGACAGGGCAAATGTTAGCTAATGAAAGTTAATAGCAGTTGATTCCCTAGGAGTAGCTAGTTTAATTCAAAAGCTAATGGCCCTATTTCCCAGAAGCCCTGAGGTTTGGTTTCTGATTTACACAAATGGCCAGTGTTCTGAAAGTCCTGACAGCCATGCTAACCCTCCCTCTTCTGAGAATTAACAGCAGGTTAGCTCTTGTCATAACTGGTAAGAACTGAATTTTTGGACAGATGCCAAATGAAAGGCAGATTTTTCTCAATCAAAGAAAGAGGACAAAAAGCCCACTGCATTGAATTAATTACCTGTAGATTTCAGAGAAAATCAGCAGGATTTTCCTAAGAAGAGCTTTATGCCAAATTTTAGATTATCAAGTGCCACAGAAGTATTAATGATCCCCTCCCCCCCTCCAGTATGCCATTTCCTTTTGTTCATTTTGATCGGTAGATTTTGGCAATAAAGAATAATGAAGAGATTAAGTTTGTACCCTAGAGAAGATTTTTAAAGCCAATTTGCTAACTGCCTATTTAGCTATTTTTACCCTAGCTTAAAACATGGTTTCCTAATAGAAAAAAATAATTGTAGGCATTTTTATTTGTTTGAAAGGCACTCATAAATGTTTCAAATCCAAATAAAATTTGAACATTGGAAGAACCACTGGTAAATTGTGTTCTATTTCTTAAGTGAGATCCATTCGAGATTTAGGTGTCATTAGAACCAAGATAATGCTGTTTTCATAAAGCAGTCAAGATCTTTCATGCCTTCTGTATCTGATTTGTTGTTGTTGTTAGGTGTGGGCAAGTTGACACTGACTCTTAAGAATCCTCTGTATACAACAGATTGAAACATTGTCTAATCTGCACTACCATGTGAAGAAAAGTATCTAATTCAGCATTATTGATGGATTAATGAAAGTAATTTCTGATAATGTCGAAGACAGGTTTGAGGGGTCTGGGCCAGAGATTGTTTTTGTGAGGACTTTATGGATGGATGATTTGTGGGATGCAGAATTACCCATTTAGTAGATTTTCTTTTTTTCTTACTTGTATTCTACAAATACAAATTGCATTGGGAAAATCTGCTGTCAGGGACCTCTCCAGAGTGCTGAAAAGCAATGATGTCAGTCTAGAATCTAAGGTGCACCTAATCCAGGCCATTGTCTTCGTAATTACTTGATATGCTCCAGAGAGCTGGACAATGACTAAGGATGACAGAAGAATGAATGCCTTCGAATTGTGGTGCTGGAGAAGAGTCTTAAACATACTGTGGATGGCCAAGAAAACATATAGGTCTGTCTTGGAGAGGCTGAAACCAAGTTTTTCCTTGGAGGCTAGGATTTTGAAGCTCTGTCTCAAATATTTAAGGCACGTGGCCAGGAAAGACTAATCTTTGGAGAAGGACATCATACTCAGAAGGGTGGAGGGACAGCACAAGAGAGGAAGACCCCAGATGAGGTGGATTGATACAGTAACTGGGGCAATGAGGGTTGGTGTGTCAGAATAAATAAGATGGGATCAGGACAGGGTAGGGTTCAGAGTTGCTGCTGCACACAGGGTTGTTATATGTTGCTGGTGACTTCATGGCACAAAACTAAAATAGCTTACTTTCTCTTTTTAATTTGAACAATAGTTTTAATTTTACTGGTGGAATAATGCTTATGATATTTCATAAAAGTTAGACATCAGCTTTCTAGTCACCTCGACCCCATACAACGCAGATATGCCCACTTTCCCAGAATCCAGCAGGTCAAGGCCTGAGTGCTTAAAAAGTTTTGGACCCTAGGGCCTGTGGCCTACAACCCAAGAAGACAACTCTAGATACCAGATCTCGAGGACACATCACCATCTCCTGGAAAACTATTCCCTTGTGACAACAGCGTGCTGCAGTTGGAAGACTAGAGGCACTATCCACAAGAAGTCAGTCCTGGAGCAGAAGTTCAAGGCAAAGGACTTTTCCTCAGAACCATCTGAAATAGGTAGCCTTCCCTAATACTAGTACCTGATATTTGGACCTAGGGACTCCTAAACTCAAGAGATACTGGCCACAACATTAGGAAACTGGCAGCAGTGTGAGGCATTCTGAATCACAGAAGCCCAGAAGGCTTGAGATATAAGCCATAATATCAAGGGCTGGACAGGGAAGAGAAGTGTCATGTAGGCAGGAGTAGAAAAGGTTGCTGGTGGAGCAAGGAAAGGGGTAGGTCAAGACACGTGTCAAGGGTGGGGACAACACTGAATGTATTGGTTGTTTCTATAATTGCTCCTTTCTGTAAAATACTTGTCTGTCAGATACTGTTCTAAATCTGAGCATTCAGATTTCAAAAGACTAGGAAGAAGGATTGGCCATCCACTTCCAAAACAGCAGGCCTTCAAAAACTCTGTGTATGTACAGTAAAGCACTCTTAGACTAGCATATGTGGCAACTGAGGCTGAGCTCTCAAATATGGAAACAAAAAGCTAGAGGGAACAGTTGTAAGCAGACACTAGGGATTGGAATGTAGAATGTGAGAAGCATGAATGTAGGAAAATTGGACATTATTAACAAAGAAATGGAACACATAAATATTGATATACTAGGTATTAGTGAAATAAGAGGGACTGGCATGGGACATTTTGAGTTGGATGATCATATGATCTATGCCAGAAATGAAAAGGTGAGGAAAAATGAGGTTTCTT